TTTATTCATAAATGTATCTTTTGAAGCAGATTTGCTGGTGTCTTCTTCAATATTTACGCATCTAACAAATTCCAGACACTGTCAATAGGACTCTGCTGAATGTATTTGTATTGTGTTCCGAAGTGTCTGAAATGTCCTTCTTTAGAAATAATCTGCTTATTTGTGCTTTCGAGATGAACATTTACAATATACCTGGCCTGCAGCTGTTACATGGCTTTATACTTGCATTCAGCAAAAAGCGGTCAATAGGCATTGTGAGAAGTCACAGTATGATCCCTGCTATTGACAGTTTTTGTTCTCATTCAAGTCTTCAGCAGCTTCCTTTAGGTGAGTCAAAGAATAAACCAGGAGTGAAGATGTGAAAAATATCTACCACCCTTCATTTTCTTTTGTTTGGCCAAGTCTGGCCACCATGGAGGATGGATAGAATAGAGAATTTATTTATCAGGAAGGAGTCTTAAAAAATAACCTTGTCTGACAGGCGCACGCAAACACTCTCTGTGGAGGGCCTATCCTTAAAACGATTCCTTTTCCTTCACAGCATGCTTCAAATGGGACCTTTTCCACTCACTGGGTAGAAAATACAGATCTTTACTGTCTTTACTTTAAGGCTTTGTCACTTTTATTTGATGTTTACAGTTGATTTATTATGTTTGTTGTTCTGTGATTCTCTCTCGCAGCTGGCAGGGTGTTGTTCTTATGTGATAAAATGAATCAGTGGCTTGCAAGATCATCTGGTGAAAATTGAAAAATCTTCTTTTAGCCGCGATGAATATCCCCGGTCTTCATTTCAGTGCAAAATCAATGCCGGCTGGAGCAGAAGACTTTGTGTGCCGGGGTGGGGGAGGTTTTTTTTGTTTTTAATTTTCTGGTGAAAAGAAAGATGGAGCTGCAGTAAAAGGTGAGGGCGTGGGGGGGGGGTGTTAAGTGATAAAGTGGCTCCATCTTTAGCAGGGCATTCGGGCTGGCATTTTCACCAACTTTATGGTTTATTGTGCTCTAACGGTACAATTGCTTCCTAATTCCAGGTGTAAGTATAGCTAAGCAAATATCTGTAACATGTTTTTTCAGTTTATCACTTGTTTAGTCTCAGCTGCAGTGAATTTGGTAGCTTTGTCAATCTTTCTCTCTCCAATTCGCATAACACACTCTGAACTTCAGAAACTCATTCAACTGGTATCAAGCTCTTGCGACGAGGGCAGTCAGAAAAGAAAGTAGTACTTTGACAAAAGCTGTCATTCTTTATGACAGGACGCGACCTCTCACAGGGATCATTGTGTGAAAAGGTCCTCCGGTGTCCCTCGCACACACTTACACCCCATTCCCTCTTAGTGGGGTCCTGTGTCGGGTGGCTCCGTGTCACTGAGCCAGTAACTGCAGCAGCTGATAATTCTCCAAGCCAGTCGCTCAGATGAAGGGTCAGCCTTATTTTCTTCTTCTCCTCTCCCTCCCTCGAGGCTTGGTCTCTTTTTACCTTATACACAGCTCGCAATCTCTCTGGATTTAATACTCTATCCGTCTTCTGCAGACCTCCTGGTTGACCTCTGTCACATCAACTTCCTGTTTGGAAAGTTGCTTCTCACAGTATTGTTGCAATTATTTTCACCCTGAGCTTGTTATAAGGCCCCCAGCAGTAGGGTCCCATTCATCTAGCTAGGCAGTCGCATCACACGTGTGCCTGTATCCTCCAGCAGAAAGTTAATGACGCGCTGTGCTCTGTGCACCTCTCTACTGTTTTTTTTGTCACTTCTTCCACAAATGACATTTAGACGCTGAACTCCAGACGTCTTTCCAACAAGGTGCTCTCACAATATTGTCCAACGCGTAGGAAAAGGTCAAACGCCATATTCTCTCAGCTCACTCTTACACTACCATTGATTTTTAAAGAATGGCTCCACACCAAGCACAATTACATGCGCTCCTCCCTCCTGGTTTAAGTGCTGTTCGCTTTCTGAAGTCAATCCACTGTTTAGAGCAGCTGGTTTTATATTCCAGGCTGCAACTATGTTTTTTCATTATCACAGCTGGAAGATATCTTCCCCTCAGCCTCAAATATGAAAGCAACCTTAAGGTTGATAAAAAGAGGGGAGCGTCTCTTGTGCAGCGCTTACACAATGGGAGCAACACAAAGCAGAACATCATCCAGGCAAAACAGCCGATTTGTTTTCTATTATCTAAACAAGAAAGACTTCGAAAAATTGTAGCAATAAAAAAGTCGGCCCATCGCCGAAGATTGTTAAAAGTTACGTAGTGGACGTGGAAGGCTGTTGTGTGTCACCCTCAGCTGCTTAATGATGGGCTGCAAAATTGCATGCATGGGTTCAGGAGATATTGAAACTGTTGTTTATATCTGCAGGTGTACGTCAGGTTCATATCTCGGACCTCACAAACAATATTGCTGGTTATTTATGTTCAAGGACATTTTAGGAGACTGTCAGAAAGTATCCACAGTGTGAGCGCAACAATTTTGCCACATCACAGGCAAATTCAGATTATTGGATTTTTTTCACAGATAGGGGAATTAACTCCTCATTGATATAATACCAATGACTGCCTTTATATTAAGGCCTCTCTATGAATATTTAAAAGCTTCTCTAGTATTTTGGGATTCGTTGATCCTTCCCTGCAGATGGCATATCAAAGCACGCCTGCCCCACAATTAAAAGAAGATAAGGAGCTCAGCAGAGGCACTCAATGTCAAGCTCAGAAGCACACGCCAAGGTCAGATAACACAGATCAGAGCTTTTACTAGAGGCACCTACACAAAGGTCTGATGACAGCGTGTTGTAGTCGTAGTAGAAACAGGACAGAGATTACACCGTGCTCTCAGTAGGCTCAGATCAGACAGATTGAGCGGGGGTTGGACGGTTCCACAGTCACTTAAGAGAGCGACACACTTGGACGAGCTCCCTTCACTGGGCATTAAACACAATTAAGAGAAGGCATTGTAACGCTCCCCACCTGGGCTCTTAAACCTCCTGGTGCTCCCCCTCACTAGCTGTAAATCCGCTCTATGTTTCTGCCCTTCGTCCTCTGCTTCCTTGAATGCCTCCTCACTCTCTGTAATCTGGCCTTCTGAATGGTACGCGTGCGATCCTGTATATTAGCCGCTCTGCATAAGGACACGACCTTTTCCAGCATTTTCAATTGACATTTTTATTCTCCCGTTTTTAATCAGGGAAGAATAAAGGGCCAGTTGCCTCTGAATTATTTAGATTATGAATGACCGAAAGTCTTTTGAGCACCGATGTACCTTTCCCTCACTCTATCAGAAGTGATCATGCTTGTTGGTCTGTTCGCAGCAACCTTGTCAACCTTGACAGCAGAAAGACTTTGTTTATGCGAGCACTCACTTCAGGCTTTCACACAACTCACCCGCAGTCAATCAGTTGTGGAATTCGGCTTTCAAGTATCTTTGAGGAATTTATGCACAATCATTCTTTCGCTTTGTCCTCACTTCTAATTGCTCGTAGTCATTTCCCAGGCTTTGTGAGACCAGGTGTATCATTCATTCAGCAGAATATGCTGATGTCTGTATACGTTCTGAGGAGTTTCTGTGGAGGTCACAGCTTGTACATATCACAGGTCAGTGAGAGTAGGACGTGGCTCATTTGGTATCTGAGAACAGAATTCTTAGGCTCGGTTTACGTATTTACAGATCCTATAGGACTCAGCAGACCTGAGGAATCTGTCCTCACTTCACGAGGTCGGCAGCTGCGATCCCAAAGTTGCACATCAGTTATACGTCATCACCTAACATCGCCGAGAGCGACTTTGAGTACACTGCACCGACTAATTTGTTTCCAGTCACTTTGTTGATCAACACTTGTGTGCATTTGTCTAACTGGAGCTACACTTGTTTGCTAGGGAAGTGCTGATAGTGCAGCAAATTTTCAGGTGTGTTATTAGCTGACAGTTAAACTTTGTCAGCTGCTGCAGATTATCTCTCCATGTGGCTGATTAATTATTTAATAGTAAAACAAAAGGAAGCAGTTTGCAGCAGACACATATCTTAATGTCTTCTTGATCACGACTGCTTCTGTATACTGTGTATAAATGTGCTCCTCCATGTCTGTTTGTTTGCATGCACTGCAGGTTTGTTGTACATATTGCTGACAGGCATTAAAGCTTTCTGGTGCAGTGGTGCAAAGATGAGAAGAGAAGAGGGCAGCGGTGTTAATAGAAAGGAGGAAAGAGTAACGGTGCAATCATTTACCCTGGTTTGTTTGCATATTTTAGCTCTCTGTTTTTCATATATATTGCCATATGTATGTTCTATTGATTTTTATGCTGTGAGGTCTCCATAAAAACGTGACTCTCTAAGCGGTGACCATGTACTGCTCTGATCTTTGATAGGAGGACTCGCACATCAGCAGGCGTGACAGTCTAAGCTTTCCATTAACACTTTATTGCATTAATGGATTCTGCAGGTCACGCACACACATAGCAGGAGCCTGGCGGGGTGACAGGGTGAGATTAGGGAATTGCTCCCTCTAGGTGAAACTCAACTCTACTGCAAGCAGATTTCATAAAGCTGGGAAGTTTTCATTACAGCGATTGGCAGTAATTACATGTCTGTTTGTTCTGGATTTAATGAAATCAGCTCGAACGTGCAAAACCAGCATGGCCCGACCCCAGTTTTTGCTCTAATCACTGGCAGAGCATTATTGGCTTATTGTAGTTGTAATTGGTGTAAAGTCTCTCGTTTTTTGACCAGTGTTTGGAGATGTATGATTGTGTGGGCAGTTCCTCAGGCTGCTGGAGGGGAAATTGAGACTGTCGCACTGGGACTTTTGAGGTGGGGATGGCTTTTAATTTAAAGCTAACCTTACTCTTTGAATTACTGTTATTGTTCGGCAGGTCTCGCATTAAACCAACGCAGCCAGTGGAGAGCTAAAGATGAATTTGAATGCTAATCATTTCTGCAGCTTACCCTGAAAAGGTTGTGCCTGTCTGTTTGTTTTCTCACCTTGTCGTCTGTCTTATCTTTTGCCTTGCAGTTATGTGGCTGCGGGCTGCTCGGCGTGGGCATCTGGCTCTCGGTGTCTCAGGGAAGCTTCGCCACCTTCTCACCCTCATTCCCTTCACTGTCAGCTGCCAATATGGTCATTGCCATCGGCGCCATCGTCATGGTAACAGGCTTTCTCGGTTGCCTGGGTGCCATCAAGGAGAACAAGTGCCTGCTTCTGAGCGTGAGTCAAATCCGGATACCTACAAAAAATATATTTTAAAAGTCACACATCTGTCAACAGCACAAATGTGCACATTGTAGTTCTTAATTTCTCTCACTCGAGCATTTTATGACTGAAATTCATTTGTAGAGTTGACCGCTTGCAATCAGTTGTATTCAAAAGTTTTGGCACCCCTGGGGAAGCTGCATATTTTATCGGTAAATACAACCCTTGCAGCAATGAAATATTAAGATGAGCTTTTCATGAATGTATAAAATTGATAGAAATCGTGGCAGCGGGCCAAAGTTTGTGCAAACTTATAGTAGCAGCTCTAATTTCATAGCTTGGAAATGTTTTTAATGGACCACTAAGAGTCATAGTTATTTGTCAGAGATGAGAAACGGAAAAAAGCAATGCCATAACATTTTGAGAACTGCTCGTATTTTGTGTCTTTTTGCTGCAAGGCTTGTCTGCACTGTCACACGCAAACTGCAAGCAAGTGTCTATACTCAAAGGCACACTGGTCACAGGCCACCAGGAGCTTTTTTTGTATTTGTCCTATTACCAGACCCTCGGGAGAGCTAGGTGACTGGGGCTACTTCAGTAATTCAGTCTGCCCTCTATCGAACCTCAAGAGTGCACAAAGGAAAATTAGAGCTGAGCAATAGGATTCCCCCTTTCTGCAAATTAATACCAACTAATGCATGTCATTGCCATGGCTCTGGTCAAAGCCCAGTGAAAGGAATTTCAGGCGGGGGAATTAGTATTTGCATAGAGCACACCAAAAGCCACTTGATGTTTTTGAAGCTCAAGATTTGAGAATGTTCTATTATTCATTACAAAGACTGTTCTGTCTTGACGTTGCACTGTTTGCCCAAAGTTGTACAAGTGTGTTATCTTAAGCACAAGTTAATTATGAGAGTTCACCCAACAGAATGAGGTTTGCAGGGATCCGCTGCAGAAAGGCAAAGAAAAAAAACTTTCATGTATAGAAACTTTAAATGAGAAGTGGAGTTGGGGCTCTGAGTACTTAACATCACAAACAGCTCAATCCCTTGAAGCTCTTGCATCAGTCAAAAGCCCCACCAAATCCTCAGCGTTAGACATGGCTTCCTTCACCTGCCTAACAACTGTGAAGCAGGAGGAGAGAGCAGAGCGCAAAGACAGAGCGGAGCGGTGTGAAAGATGGCTGGAATTAGAGAAAAAAAATCGGAGTCAACGGAAAATATCAAAGTTTTGATGTTTCTCACCGAGTCTTCTGCCACATCTGTGCGTGACAGCCTTTTATATTTGGCCAGAATAATTCTGTTTAGGGCATCCATGTCTGCTGTCGTTGCTGTTGTTGTGTTTGTCTTTGTCTGTCTGTCCAGTCGAGCACATCCAAACATTTGGGGAGGTAGTGGTGGTGGTGGTGTGGGCTCAGGACGGGGAAACATCAAGAGTAGGTTTAGATCTCCCAGCGCAAATAGATCTGAGTGTTTACCTTGACATATTTTCTTTGAAGTTGGTCTGATTGCAGCTCTCTTTGGATTAGAAATATTCAAAGACCGGACATCCTTTGCAGCGATATTGCAGTGCACCTTTTCTGCCAAATAGTTTTATTGAGACATTTTTTAAAGAAACAAAACAAGGTGAGACAACAGTGCGATTGCTGGCAAATGAGAGCATGCACCCACAGAGCTGAGTGTGCAAATAAACACAGAAGCACATGCTCTCACACATGGCCGCTGAAGCACCACCAATTTGCTTTGCAGAAACAGTTCATTTGATTGCAAATGCCAGGAAAAGTATGACAAGTTAACTGCAGGTGAACAACAATCATTCTGTGGGCTGCAAAGCCATATGCAGCAGCAAACCGTTGTAACTATGTCGTGTGAGCCGTGACATAAATAATAGCTCGCACCCTCCCTCCCAGATGAGTTTGGAATTAATGGGTTTTTCAAAAAAATCTAGGTTTGCATGCCTCCTCCCGTGCTGTGCAGAAGAGCTGGGTAAATACCGTGCTGTAATGGAGTCAAGTAGAGAGAGTAGTAGATGAGATGCAAGGCTGTGCTAGAAATTAATCTTAGGAAGTATTAAACCTTTTATACTCCCCTCAAACATTCACAAGCCCTTCAGCACCGAGATTCTCCTTTTTTCCTCCCACCATCACTCCCACCTCTTCCTTCATGTCTCTTTTTCTAATTTCCTTCTCCCTTTTTAAATTTGCTTTGTTTATGTTTATGGATTTCTTTCTTTTCTTTTTTTTGTCTTGAGAAATGTTGGTTTCTGTGTATGCTGCTTCCAAATGAAACCATTAACTGAAACCTGGAACGTTTTTGGGGAAATTTACTCATTTGTTTTATTGTCAAGAGCAAAAATGAGAAGATTAATCTAGCTGGTAAATATAAAGCTGCTGCCAGAAACTGTCCAGCCAAGCTGAACAGTATAAATGGTGGGGTCAGTAGGTAACGCCAGCTAGCTTTATTTAGGGCTGGTTTTACAGTCATGTGAAGTGATTCGCTGGGTCATAGCTGGGCAATTAACCTTAAAATACTACAGCTTTATTTTTTATTTGGTTTTTCCTTGATGATGATTCATGTGTTAATTATTGGGTTTTAAGAGATGCCAGCTGGCAGATAAGGCTTTATCTGCCAGGCTCTAGTTTTTTGTGTCTTTTTGTTTCAGTCTGAGCTAAACTAATTGACTGCTAGCTCATCTCATTTAACCCTTGCCTTATGTTTCACAAGATGTCAAACAATTGCTTTAACCCAAATTAAAAGATCATTAGATAATCCGTGTATCTCCGTGAGTCACACAATACATTTGAGTTTGGAGTATAAATAAATGCGCTTTAAATCACAGATGCAAGTCTTACTGTGAAGTTTGTGAAATACTCAGATAAAACAGCACTTAACTGCAAAAGAAGCTGAGCTGTTCAGAGTTTTGTTCACAAATTCAATTTACAATATTGCCTGTGCTGCTGTTGTAACAGTGCTCTTCCTCTTTCTGGCAGTTCTTCATTGTCCTGCTGATAATTCTTCTGGCGGAGGTGATTTTGCTCATCCTGTTCTTTGTGTACACAGATAAGGTAAGTTGTTATGTGTTGTGTCCGAATTTTGTTTTTTATCATTCCAGCTGAAGACATTAAAAGAAAACTCTCTCACACACAGATGATCACAGACAAATGCAGAAAGCAATAAACGGTGTTAGTGTGATAAGCATACCTAGATTCCAGTTGCTTCCGGGTATCAGAGTTTTCTGTTTTTATATTTGGTTGTTTCTCTGTCAGAAGCTTGAGTGTCTTCACCCCACCATTAACACAGCAGTCAAAGGTTAGGCCACAAAATTCAACTCAATCCCCAACAGTTGGCTCCCCCTAATTAGTTCCAGGAATATTTCCCATGACCCCTTGAATGAGGTTAAATCAGGTGAATGTGTGGGGTAACAGCAGATGCCTACACGCAAAGCTCTGGATATTACCGATGCTGAATTCGTCTTCGTCTTTAATCTGATCCAACCACAAATGTTTCATCCCGAAGAAGACAAGTGTCTTGTGCAGGACGAGCGATGAAGACTTCTCTGTTTTCAAGGACATGTCGCTGATAGATCCGTCTATTTATATATTTGCTCTCTTATGTCACACGGCCCTCGGGACATCAGCTAATTCTGCCTCTTTGTTCTGAGGTTATTGCTCAAACCTAGTCTCTCAGGCAGATAAAGGAATTCATTTAGCAGCCAATCCATTCTCAGATTCAGATCGGGTCTCGCAGGCACACCCTGTCAGGAGTAAATATGTCTGTTGCCTTATCATCAAAATATTACCGGCTTAACCGTGATCCCTCCGGCGGAATTTAAATAGAAAGCCTCTTGACTTCACAGCAGTGCCTTTCCCATCACCTGTGAAGTCAGTAAAAGATAGCCCAGTAGTGCTGAGGATTTCCTAAATGAGAAATCAGTTGAGTCTGCATTAGCAAAGCATGGGGCATTACCCGGGGAAAACTCATTCGCACAAGTTCCAGTGAATACCCACCGTATTTTATGTTTGTCCCGTTCTTGCCAAATTACTGTGTTTATCCTGGCTTAAACCTAATGGAACGTGAAACCATGATAATGAGGATCACAACCAAATATATTTCCCTTTATTGGTCTTCAAATGTCATTGGAAGGCAAAGCGTTTAAAGTAAATTGCACGTTATTGGAGATGACACTTTCAGACTGCTCTAATCAGGATGTCCTGCAAATTTAGGAAACTGCATTAGATTTTTAAAGCTTGTCTGTTTGGCTAAAAGGACAATCACAGACGACCTTCACATATTGCTTTTTGTTTTGTGGTTGGGTTTTTTCTCCGTCTCCAGTGAGATCTTGTATGCCGTGTGAGGCTCCCCTCGTCTTCTGCTACAGGCTGTGATCAGAGGAATCACTAATTCACTTTTATTATTTGATCCCCTAATCACACGGTATTTATTAACAAGACTGGAAGACATACGGTACAGTAGTTGGCAGCTTTTAAACGTGTATCGACGGAGGCAAAACAGATATTTTAGTCTCTCAAATAGGTCATATTTAAGTCATGACTGACTCTTTGTGCATACTGTGATCCTTCTGGGCGACAGTCTGTTGACAGGTGGGAGGGAAAGACAAACATATAGTATCTTGCGTTTGTTGCAACATGTTTTTTTCGTTTAGCGTCCGTTTCCACCAGTTTAATCCTACTTTGGAGGTACCGCTCAGTCCTGTTAATAGATAATTTCTCTCACGTCTTCTTCAGCCCAGCAGTCTTGCCTACAGGTATGGCTTATGCGTGGGCACTCCCTCATTCCTTCCACAGCCCAGTGGTGTTAAGCTTTCTGATTAAATGCCATGTAGAGGGCGTAGTATAATAAAGGCTGGCCCTGCAGTTAGCAACCAGCTGACTGCAGCAGATGGCTGGGCGGCAAACCAGATTACAGCCATCCGTCTTTAACGCTCTGACCTCATTGTGCCGCCGTCGACCCAACACGCTGAGCTGAACACCGGTGAAGGTTTATTAGCTCAGAATGAGGAAGCAGAACTTTGCAAGAGAGACAGGAAGCACCGGAGCATGTACGTAGGGATGTCGGGAGGGCGAGGAAGAAATGAAGGAAGGGTGGAAGGTGTGGAGAGAGGTAAAAAAAAGAGATATCAAAGGATGCTGGGAAGAATGAATGTGTTATGTGTTAGGGTGCTGAAGTACACAAAAAAAGGGGTAGAAAGAGGTCAGCCATGTCAGAAATGAAATTAGATGTCACTGTAAAACTTTAGGAAAAGAATCAGGAAAAAGGAAAACACGGAGTCATGGAAGAGGAAGGAAGCCAAGTTTGGCTGTGGCACATCCTTGATGTCTTACTCAACGACAGCAGCAGTCACATCTAGCTGCGTGTGTCGTTTGTGCAAAGACAGAATTATGTTCAATTCCTGGCTGTGCGTTATTTCCCAACCAATTAAAGCTGGAGTGGGGCTCTTCCCCTGACTCTGTCAAGTGCCCTGGCCTCCGTCTACAAAGCACAGGGTTGCAGAGCAACTGAGGGAATTAGGTAACGTGTTTTAATAATGTGCTGTTTGGAAACCTCTGGCACTGATTCTGTTTGGATTCACATCATTTATTACAATTTCAGGGCAGTAAATGTATTTGTCCTGAGCTTTGCAATTAGAGCAACAGTGAAACGTTGTTAGCTTCTTAGTTTCCCAGTAGTCCTGAAACTAAAACCAGTGTTTCCAGACAGTATGTGACCCAACAGTGACTGCGTATGAGAGGAAAAAAGCACTGAACATGTTTGAAAGAGGTTCGGTCTATCCTTAAAGAGCATGCAGCAAAAGACTGAAGATGTGACAAGAGACAGTTTTATTTGCTTCACGAAACAGTAAAATAAGTGGCAATTTGATCTGGAATGTTTAGCTTTGAATATGTTTTATTTAAATAGGATTTAATGGTGATTTCATGCTTGAAACTCTGCATTTAGGAACATTTGAGCCTGAAGTCTGGTATTTGTGATAATGTGAGCTTTGTGTACCATACCCTGACAGCAAGCTACAATCAGAAGTTCAGTTTGGTAGAGGTTGACTTGGGTTCAGATCCTGTGTACTTCGGTGCATTTTACATCAAATATGAAATCTACTGTGATAGAATATCAGCTCAACTGTCTGTCACTTTTTTAAACATTAAAAAACAGCGTTATCTGCACCGCCTGTCTCGTCAGAAACCTGCGTATGCAGGCAGAGCTCTGGTTCTTTGCATTATAGATGAGATTTGAAGACAGGTGAGTATGTGTGGAGTCGCTTCATCATTTCTGCATCCAAAAGAAAAATGCAATAATGCCAGGGAGTATTTCACCGTAAAGTATATTTTTAATTATTATGCAGCTGTCGGGTAAACGATGATGTGAGCTACTCTGGTACTGAACGTTAATGTGACGTGAACATTTGCCAGTGTGGGAACTTGGGAGTTTGGGGCAGTTTGATTAGAAATTTCACAAGAAAAGCTATTCAACACCCCGAACACAACAACAGTTAGTAAAGAACCAGAGTTACTAGCTGGTAAACACAGGGGAGCAGCTACAACTTAACAATAATGTATTTAATTTAGTAGTTGACCAAGAAGAAAGTGCAGGGACAAAGAAGAAAGAAAAGTGTTTTTAAAATAACAATCAATGATTATCCTTCATATTTTTCGCTAGTGTGAATATGTAGATAAGATATTAGCCATTTTGAAAGTTCAAAGCTGTTCCTAAGCACTTAGCCATCCATAAAATCAGATTCAAGTTCAGGTTCTTCAGTGGAAAGTTGAGCACTTGTTAGTCTTTAAACACTGACCGTGGTTGGTATCCTAAGATAATTCCTCTGTTTTCCTGTCAGCATGCACAGAACATGCAGACAGATAAATGTATTATCTATCTATAGTTTACCTTCCGCAGGTGCCAATACACTAACTCCCAATGGTCCACTAATTCTTTCCTTTCAGAGCCTCATAAGATCAGAATTGAATGCTGTACAATTTTCGTAAGATATTAATTGAGCAAACTGATAAAATAAACGTTTTGCTCGTCTCTTCTTGTCAATAGAAAATTGTACTTAGTAGTCAGGATAATCTTTTAATGATAGAATACTGCATGATGACCTCTTTATAACTCAGACTGCTTTTAGTTCACTGTGACCCGTTATCATGCAGGGAAGGAGCAGTACCTGCTAGATAAGAGCTTAACGAGCAGTTTCACTTCGTGTCAGGTAGAGGAGCCTCTCTTGGCGCACACACACACATATACACTAGGGCTGCAACGATACAGAAAATTCACGGTTCGGTTCAATACTTTGGTGTCACGGTTCGATGTTTTTTCGATACAAAAAAATGTTCATGCTTTTTTAATTTGTCATTTATTAAAATTATAAATATATATTTTAACTCAAACTTACAGTTTTTAAATTTAATGTTGCTGAAACAACAAAGGGATGAAATAATAAATCTATCTGATGGAGAAATCACTCATCTTTGGAAAAGAGTTTATTACAGAGAAATGGCTCTTTCCAAAATAAAAGCTACACTATAGCTTCTTCTCGGGTATACTCTCAGCAGCATATTAAACATATCAGGTCCCCATAAGGAGAATCCTGTGCTAACGGCTGTCTAAATGACTCGGGTAAAGTTTGTAGCATGCGTGCTTGTTGTTTTTGTCTGCTTCCACTTGTCTTTGCACTAGCTTGTCTTTGCACTAGCTCCGTTAACGAGCTACCTCGGATCGCCCCGTGCGTGGGGCTGGACTGCGTCAACACATTAACGAGCTAACTGCGCTAACGCACTAGTTCCCACCCATGTAATTGAGCATTGCGTGGCACATCCAACATACTATTTTACTTTTGTCCATGACGCGCTTACCTTCAGGGTCATACGTCACATGAAGACCAAAATAATTCCAAAGGCCAGATCTGAATGAGGGTGGGGGAGGTTCAATTTGCCATGTTGCAACGAGCTTAGCTTCTGTCTCGCTAGCTTGCGCTGCGCTCAGTGGATCTGCGCTCAACAGTGCAGCCTAGGTGGAGTAGTCGAACGCAGATCCTCTGAGCATCGTCAGAAGGAAAGTTGATAAAATAAATTAAAAATGTTGTATTGTTCGATACATATGCGTACCGAACCGAAAGCTCTGTATTGAACGGTTCAATATCGATATGAGTATCGTTGCACCCATAATATACACATCCACATTCCAATGTAATAAACGAATGCGCCTACTTTTGTATATAAATACAGACCAGAGCGGTAACAGAGCGCACTTCACAGGGCCCCCACTCTGATGTCAGCGCTCTGTGACCGCCCTTGCAAGTAAAAACTGCGCGCGTGTCTCCACTCTCTGACTCTCAGCTGAAGAAGTGTCTTTAGAATAAATCTCTTGACACTTCTGTTTTCACAGAATCTCATGTAAATACGTAATGCTCTCCCGTGTTGCGTGAGGAACTCTAAATGTTCCACAGCATTTTCAAAACAGCCTGCTGAGACACCAGTCGTTAGCCAGATGTTCCCCCACCTCTGTGGAGGCTGTATCCTTCTCTGAAATGATCAGTTCTTTCACGTCTTTGGAAATTGGAGCAGTCGGTTCTGTCGTGGCACACACTCTGGTAATGAGCATTCAGTGTAACCTCACAGGTCTCAGTGTACCTGCTCCCCTGGGTGTTACCATGTCACCAGATCTGGGACAGGTGTTTCTCCAACAATCTACCACCCGCTCTCTGCTCTATTTTTGTGATCGTTGACGGGGAACGTGAACAGTTTGGACAGAAAGGCTTCTCCTTCCACCGCCCTCACATGCATATCTTCTTGTCTTTCTTTGTTTTTTGTTTTTTTGTCTTTTCTGTGAATTATGAGTGTTTTCTCAGCCGGCCAAGCTGAACCCTTTAGATTTCTGTGATGAATGTGCAGTCGTATATTGCTGTGTGCGGACTTGGTCATCACAGAGGAAACTACAAGCTTATCTATGCAATGAGACATATGAGCTCTGTCTCAGGGCTTTGTCTACATGCCACACGTGAAATATTGCGTGGCAACATCCAGGCAAAACTTCCCAGAAGTCGGATGTTGCCACAGCACGGTGCAGGCCTGTTATTTGTCAACATTTTCGAGGACCGGCAGTGTAAGCATTAGTCGAGAAATCGCCTCGTGTTTTTGTCTGCTTCTGTGGCGAGGAGAAAAAGGGTCGGCGTGCCGCACGATCCTCCAACTCCCTGTTTGTTCTGTATTCATTTGTCTGCCTCTCGTTAGAGGTAAATCTGGATCATTAACTTTCATTTCACACTGTAACTAAGACACAAAAAAAATGATGTGCAGTGACTTATCGGAGACTCGGAAGAAGACTTTTATTGCAATAAGAGGGACCCTGCTCTCCAGCGGCTGTGTGAGGAGTCTGTAATGAGCCAGCGACATCACATACAGCCTACTGTAGATGGAGAAGACAAGATAGCAGATAGAAACAAAGCACAAGGCAGAGATTGATGGTGCTGCTGTTCTTCATTTCATTTTCCTGCACGAGGACCAAGATCTGCATCAGCAAACTTGCAGGCCGAGGAGCAAGAATGGGATTTGAAATAATTCTCGTCTTATTTCAAAGCTTTTAGAGGATGTTTTAAATGGGGTTTGCATTTTTAATGATTACTAAAGCATTTTATTGCCCGAGAAATTTTAATTAATCAGTAAAAATTCAGTTTGACTTTTATGTCTAATTCAGCAAATAGATTTCAAAAGCCTTGCAGCTGAATAACAAGGGTACTGAACCAGTGAATGACTTTAAAGCTTAATGTCGTTTCTGTACAGTCAAAGGAAAGTTGGGTTTGTACTATTTCTAATGTGTAAGACAGAAAGTCAAGTGATATTAAATGTGTTATTATTTTAGAGAAGCCAGGCTTCTGGCTGCTTATTGTTACTTTCGTCCTTATTCTTTCACTAAAGGATTTACTGACACCTAAAATCACCTTGTTGTTTCTGGATGTGACAGTGCTAATGCAGCTTCTCTTGTCCTGTGCAGATTTCCTGATCACACTCTTTAACTCTAAGCTTTAAGTATTAAGTGCATTCCTATTGTTGTGATATTACTTTTATTGCCCGTGAAGATGTACAGCGCGATTCTGGCAGTCCATGTCATTTTTCTAGTCATAATTACCCCGTATCTAAAGCGCCTCTCAATCTGTCCTGGCAGTTAGCAAATCCCCACAGGCATATGAAACTGCAGGAGAGCTAAAGCTCTGATTTTGTATCTCATTAACACAGCGAATGAGATATTAATCTCCCTCAGACATGGCACAACCCTGAGCAAATTGTTGGTGTTCACTCAAGAGGAAAATGATTTGCTAGCACAGCTGAAGGGCATGTTGAAGCCGAGCGTGTGAGCGACACATGACGTGTCAGACGTTCAGGCATCACACAGCGGTCCGCGTTACTGTTGCAGAGTTATTTTTATTTGACAAGACAAGAGGTTACCCATAACTGTGAAGGCGCTGGCATTTTATGTCTTTATATTGTAGTGTCGGATTGCTTTGCGTTAATGATTCGTCGGTCATACGCAGTCCACTAAAAGCACTTAACTGCACACCTGCCACTACTGTTTGCATCTGTGTGAAAAGGATGCTGACAGTTTGAAAAGAGTAGAATAATCCGAGTGCACCTCTACAAACACCCAAGCTTCAACTGCCTGCTCCAATACAAAGACAACATAAAGAGGTATTGAATGGTGCAACTCACCGGACTGTTCTTGCAAAGACAACCCCTCCAAACTAAGATCTCTAACTAAGGCTAATGTTTTCTTTTATCCTCTCCAGGTGCGTGAGAATGCCAAACAGGATCTCAAGGATGGGCTGGCTCTGTACAACTCAGAAAACAACATAGGCCTGCGAAATGCCTGGAACATCATCCAGGCAGAGGTAAGTAACGCCATGCATTTACAATATGAGAAACGTTAGTGTGAATGTTTAAGCACAAATGACTAAAATCTATTCAGATATTCCAGCTAATGTATGTCCTGGCTTGTAGCTGTGGTGTTAGTGTGACCTTAAAAGCCCAAACTGGCTGTCCAAGTACACTTCAGTCCTTTTTTGCTGTCCTTTAAAGGAAAGTGACCAATTAAAATTTTTAATTAAAGTTTGTTTGAGCTTTTTGGGGCCATTGAGGACACAGAGCATTAACTCATCTTCCACCTGACATTTGTATGGCATTAACAGTGGAAATGCTGTGGAGTGATAGGATACACCGACTGGCACGAGGCCCTGAAGGACAAAGTAGTTCCTGATCGCTGCTGCCAGGAGCATTACCAGAACTGTGGGCGGAACTCCACCAACATGTTCTGGAACAGGGTGAGTTGACCTGGACTCCGATGAGTTGAGTTTTGCTTCTCAGACTTTTGCTTTTAAGTATAAGAGTCACGTGTCTGCTCTTTATAAAATATTCAAAACTAACAGATTTACTGTATTAAAATGACAGACTCCACAGAATATACTTACTGTATTTAAGTTTTTGTTTTGGAGGATATGAATGATACACAGTCATTTTCTACCTAATCTCGGCTGTATAGTTTGCCTTGACTTTTCTCTTTTTAAAACTGATAGTCTGAAAGTATTCTGTATGATTCACGTAATATTCTTGTCCAGATTATAGGATTATGCTGGGCCCAAAACTGCTATGACATCAGAATCAGGATACTTTATTAATCCTTAAGGAAATGATGTGGTTACTCCAAGACTTTAACAGTTACAGACTAAACTATTTGAATATGTTACAGAGTTTACAAATTTAAGAAATAGCACTAATATATACAAGTCACTCAGTTATAAATATCAAGAATATTGACAAAGGATATTACAGAGGTGGAATATATATGATTGACATTTGACTCTGACTGAACTTTGTCATTTGGTATTTAGCTGCAGAGCGTGTGCAAACAGGGCAGTGTTTACAGTGTGTTAGATGGAGGAGTTGCACAGGGAGACGGTCACGGGCAGGAAGGATTTCCTGTGTCGTTCTGTGGTGCTTTTTGGTACCATTTATCCCTCTTTGTATTGTTACTGTCTCTCCTCATAGTAGGTTTTCCATTTACTTAGAACATGTGCTCTAAAACTGCTTTAACGAAGCCAAACTTGTTTTGCCACGTTTGTGCAGTTTTGAGTGTAATCTGTTCGTTTGCTTGAGTCAGCCAATGTACCAACGGAAACAGACGTTAACTTGAGGTAGCCAGCAATTAGCTGGCTGTGTGTGTGTGTGTGTGTGTGTGTGTGTGTGTGTGTGTGTGTGTGTGTGTGGCTGGGTGTGTGTGTTCGTGTGTGTGTGTGTGTGTGCGCAGACTGTTTATGCTGCGTTTTTGCAACAACTCAGAGTGCTCTCAGCACTCACCAGGAACCCCGGTTGCTTTGTTCACTTTACCGCCAGACTCTTTCTTTTTATCTTTTTTTGCCTTGCAGTCTCAGTGCACCTACAAAATATATACATGTGAAGTTTTTACTGACACTGAAGCCTTTTTAGGCTGCGCAGGCCTGATTATTTTATGGAGGGACGTAAGCACAGTGGACAACCAGAATAGCAAAAAGGTCTTGACTGGTGCATCTACATAACAAAATCGTTTTAGCGTCCCCGCGGTATGAATATGTCATTGTAAAACAGTTGTCTGTCTTTTCAGTAAATGCTGCCCCTGTGATGGGGTGGCTCGGTATTAGGAGTCTTTATTTCAATTTGCCCTTTCCTGAGAAAATGTTTCCCTGCCCTTCTCTGCTCCCTTGGTTTTGTAAATTCAGTACAAGATCCAAACAGAGTTCTGCTCTGTTCCTGAGTCATGCTGTATAAAAATAGCTGTCTGCGGTGCACCTTTTTCCTAAGTCCATTTAATCTCCAACATCTCCAGCACCTGATATTTTTCACTTCTCAATGTGTTTTTACTCCTCAGTGCTCAAGTACACAATTAAGATACCTGTCTGACATTGTCTAACATCCATCCGGTGTCCTTGAAACTTTTAGATACCATATTTACAATCAGTCGAGCGTCACGCTGTGTATCATCCCCATCTCAGCCAAACCAATTTATCTTGTGATCCTAATCTTCATCAGGCTGTTTTTCAGCTCTTTAGCAACATTCAATCTTTCAGTTTTAGGCCAAAGAAGAAGAGTGAGGAGGGGTTTTTATGACGTATATAGAGACTGACATTAACCCCTTAGCAGTCCAATTAGTCCCCTAAACCATCCAATGTACCGTGGGCGGTACGTCCGACTGCTAACAGGTTAAGCAATGTTCTAAGCTAAAATTCAAATTTCCATTGTGAGATTGAACCACTTATTCTTCCGATTTTGAGAGCTGTACTTTGGAAGAAGTGCGCTGTCTGTGGCGTTTCAGGTGGAGAGCCACTGTGGCTCTGATTAGTATTACTATGGCTCTTTTGTACATCCTGATTACTGCTGCAGCTGTGCTCTGGGCTTTCAAAAAGTGTATTTTTCCATTCTTTAGACCAGGGGTCCAAAACTCGCGGCCCACGGGCCATTTGCGGCCCACGTCACCTCTACTTGTGGCCCGCATACTGATGTGAAGAAATATATACAAAAAATGATTTAATACATGACAGAGTGTTACAGGCATGGCCCTTTAAGACTGTAGCCTCATGTGCGGTGTAGTCCTTGCTGCAGGGAGAGCGTGTGGGACCGCCCCTCCCGCTGTGTGTGAGCATGAGGGAGGGAGGAAAAAGGAAAGTCGAAAAGTACGAGGCGCTACCGAGCAGAAACGGGAGATGGAAGCATGTAAATATAAAAATAACCACTGCAGCCTAAAAGAGTGGCTGACGAGCCCAGTAAGCTATTAAGACTCGACTGTACACTGTGTTCGTGTTTTCCTCCGAAACAAAGTTCTGCTGGAACAGCCTTTCAACGCCTCTCTCTGTCTCTCGCTAGCAAAGTTGACCCAGACAGTAAAGCTCGTTCCACGAGCCGACATGGAGCCCAAAGTATTAGCCAGAGTCTCCTTACCACGTTTCAGAGCCGCAGACCTGAGCGAGGTAACAAGAGCGTGCAAACATGTTGAGGGCTGTTAGTTCAGGGAGAGATTTATTTAGAAAGAAAACAATTTTCACTTGCAATCAAAGACTAATGTGTACGCTTATGTCTGCATTTTTATTTTGTTAAATACAAACAAAATTGTAGCAAAAGTGCTGCCATGTGTCTGGCCAGAAAGAGCTGTTTATTTGGTAGTTCAATGAAACTACTGTACTGTACTACACTGTACTACACTGTACTACACTGCTGAGTGACTGTCTTCTGCTCGTCAAATACATTTCACTGAAAGAAACTGAAAGGCTTCAGACAGTTAAGAGTGAGAAAAAAATTGTGTTCATGTTTGCAATTTTGTCTTGTTACACAATATTTGGAATTAAATAAAACAAACAAAACACTACATTTTAGGAAATATTAGTGGGTGTTTTCGTGTTTGTTTTTTTGTACTACTTGGACACTGAAGTGGCCTCCAATCAGGTGACGGTGCCAGAAGTGGCCCGCGGCTCATTTGAGTTTGAGACCCCTGCTTTAGACAATTCTTCTCCATATGGGTCCCAAACTCACTTAACTCCCAACTCATTAACAAATTAAGTTGCACTGTTAACAGGTCATGTTATGACTATGCTCATACAGTTAGGCTAATTTAAAATAATCAGCATACTTACATCGTCTTAGTGATCACAGGTTTTCTCACTGTTGTTGCAGTGTTCAGTTGTGCTTCACCGAGGATTTGCGTACGAGAAGTTTTGGTTTGAAACGATTTTGTTCGTGCATTTTTGGTTTTGGCTTAAATTAACAAAAGAGCTGCAGAGCTGTGAAAGAACCACAAAGACAAAACCACCATAGAAACTTCAACAGACTCAAAATGCAAAATGTCCATAACAGGAAAACAACACGAAACAAGTCGAGGCGGAAAACTACTACAGAGAGGTGCGGACGAGCATACCGATGAACAGCTGCGAAGAGACAAATTAAGAGGAACAAGAAAAATACTGAAAAGTGAAAGAAAGGGACAGCAAAACAAAAACACAAAGTGACTACAGAGTGAACAATTGCTCCGTGTTGGGGGTTGTTGATACTTTTCTTCCCATTAACTCGTGATGCATTGGGAAGTTAGATCCACAGCGTCCTACTTTTTAACGCCACATTTGAAGTGCTCTAACATATTGCCTTTAAATTACACTTTTGTTGCTCTAAAATACAATACTTGCCAATTTCTGCTCCCCGAATTCAAAAGAGGCATGCATCTGTAAGCTTTAATCCACTGTTGTTTTTTCCAACACTTTGTGGGTACTTAAAGTCGCTTTAAAGTTTTCCTCTTATTGCCTAAATCCAATGGATTTTTCTATTGTTCTCGAGACAACAGCTCTTCTTTTCTCACAAAACCGTGTAGCACAATGCTCACCAGTTTTCCCTCGTATTGCTACTCTAATCTGCTATTGGTCTGGCATGTGGTTCGTTAGCGTGTCCAAAGTAGAGGATTAAAAGCTGTAATATAATTGCCAAAATGAGAAAAGACAGACATTGAGCTGGCCCATTGGGAAAGCTCATCATTAAAAGCTTGTGTGTAATCTTGCCCAGAGGGGATGGCCACACGCTTTGTAGTTAACTTTACATGCTGCCTCAGCAACCACAGACCAGCAGGGGCACAGCTTTGCTGCTGAAACCGCCCTTAAGTGTGTCGCGTTATATCCCTGCCAATGAGTAGCCTCTGAATGAACCCAGGTGGGAATGTATTTAAGCATACGATTAGTGCGCACGTCGGCTTATGTGTCCCATACGTCTGCATATAAATGTCATCGCTCACAATAACTCAGCTGTGTTTAATAACTCACCTGCTAGTTATCCATCCTACGGTATAGCTCACATTAAAGAAATGCTTTCTTGCGGGAAAACTGCAAACCAGATGATTGAGCTTTCTCCAGGGTAACTGAACAGGGGGCAGCCATCGCTCCAACTACAGTGTCATAAACTGAAAATGTATATTTTAATGGTATTTTAACATGGTTTTGTTCCTTTTTTCAGGGCTGCTTTGAGAAAGTGGAGGAATGGCTGGATGACAATAAGTATCTGCTGGGAACCATAGGCATGGTCATCTTGGTAGTGGAGGTAGGAGGATTTGTGAGAAACAACTCTTTCCTGTTTGTCCTGCTTTGTGTCTTTTGCCAACATTGAAAACAATTAAAAGGTTAATGCTCAGTGGGCATTCTGGGCTCCAGCACATCCTGAAATATTGAAGCTCCTGTCTTGTGCACCCTGATCATGTGTGAAGTGGCTTTGTGCCAAGAATGATATAAGGAGCTATGAGACGACAGGAGAGCAGAGATGCTGAATATAGAGGAGCAGGTATAGAGTCGCAGATTAAAGGCTCTGTAGCAAGTGGTGGTAGAAATTCCACTGGCGCTTCTGTTTGTCTTTTGCTACTAAACTTTGCTTCAGATGTATCCCTCTTTATCTCAGTGTCTCTTCAGGATGTAGTATTTCCACTTACTTTGAGATTGCACTCTAAAAGTGTCTACTCACAGAACAACGGGGAACCTTTTTTTTTAACCGTATTTGTGCAAATTTTGACTGCAAGACTTTTTTGTATTACGTCTTTTGTTTTGTTTTTTTCACTCCGGTTAGCCAGTGTTTCAACAGAAGCGGTGATAGCGCTAGGTAGCCAGCACAGCTAACTGCACAGAAACCTGTGTGAGCATGGTGGACAACAATATGAGTTCATGCACGCATGTAACAACTGAAAGTTAGTGTGAATGCTAGACTGTCTGTATATGCCACTACTGGCAACCTGTCAGGTAGGGCTGTTCGATATAACGATATATATCGGACGGCGATATAAAAACGTCTATCGTTTCATTTTACGCTATCGTTTGTTTCATGGTGTCACAAAATAAACTGTTTACGGCAATATTTGTTCATGGTTTTGATGGTCACTGTAGTGGCTATATTAATTTCTTAAAGTTCTCTCTTTCTCTTATATTTAATATAACCACACTACTGACGGACAAGCGCCTGTTTTTATGCGTTGTCGTTAGCAACAGCGACGGTAACAGCATCGCGTGTCCGCTTGTTTATGTTCCACATAAACCTTTCACAATAAAGCTCAAGATCCTGTTGAGACTTTTCAAAATAAACTGAATCACGTGAAAGAGCAGATTATTTACGGATGAGAAGTATAAAAGAGCCGCCAGGTGCTAAAAAATAAACCTCAGACTCAAACGTTAGAACAGGCTTTTCCCCGCAGCACGCCGTGTAATAAATACTCACAAAGAAAACGGCGGCCTTTACAACTTATGTCTAAAAATAGTTAAAACACTCGACTCCAGCTACATGACGCGCAGCTGGAAACACTTCCCGCAAGTCGAGCTGCCCAAGATTCACAGAATTTACAGAAAATGTTACATTTTTGTGATTTATATCGTCATCGGACGATAGAATTCTTATATCGGGATATGAGATTTTGGTCATATCGCACAACCCTACTGTCAGGGGTCTTTGCTTCAATTTGCACCTTCTTGAGAGAATGTTTTCACACTCCCTTGACTTTGTAAATTCACTATAAGATCCAGCAGAGATCTGGTCTTTTTCCTGAATCATCCTCTGTGGCAATAGCTGTCTGGTGCACCTTTTTTCCTAAGTCCGTTTAATCTACAACACCCGACATCTCTGACTGCACCTTACCCTCCAATCCTTTTCACTTCTTCTGCTGCCAAGGTGCATGACAAGTGCAGAATATTTTAATATCTCGGCCCATGAAACCTTTCCGTACAATATTTACATTTCACATAGATGATGATATTTGACACAGATTTCTCAGATGTACAGTTCATTTTGTATGTCCATGCCCTTGATTTTATTTTTGATGCTGTGAAGACTTGTTTTTCAATATTTTCTTTCTGCCTAGCCTGATATGTCTGTGACTGCGTGCACGCAGGACAAGGCTTCACTTTGCTAATGCATGAATTCATGGTTCATTCAGAGCAAGGTGTCCTCACCAAGGAAGGCAAATCTCCCTGTTGAGTTTTGTATGATTCTGCACGTAATAATGTCCTCAGGGAGGGGTAGCTCTTGCACAGTCACATCAGAGAAATGTGTGCATTATATATGACCACACTATGCTCTGAAGAATTTGTTAAATTTCACATTCTCCTCCAAACACACATCAGGCATGTGCAGAACACTGAGACTTCTGGGCGCACACACATCCTCCTCTGATTCAGGCCAAACCAGAGGTAAAGTTGGGAAATATTTGCAGACGTGACAATGAAGAGCATCATAAATAAAGCTAATGTCCCATAATGTTATTTTGTTTTTGTTTTTTAATGATTTGGGACCAGAAACATGCTGTAAATAACAAACTTTGTCAAAAGCTAGTACCGTATTTTTCGGACCATAAGGCACATTAAGCGAAACAAAACAGTCAGATAAGTCAAACTTTACTCAGCTCATTCTTCTTGCTTCCTCCACTTCCGTACAATTGTTGAATTCTCTGGCAGCTGCTCTATTCCCATGTTGTTGCGGTATATTAATGACTAACCTAATATTGTGGATGGATTATCTCAGTTGTTCTCCTGACTGAAGTTTGGTCTGTTTACAGTATCCTGCCATGTGATTGCATTTGTCCCTAACCATCGGGAACTCTCATGTTAACTTTTATCGAGTGTAAAAAAAGTTAGCTTCACTGTGTTTATGCTATGCTAACATAGCTGTGTCACTAGCGGTCACGTAGCACATCATTATATACCAGCTAGCCCGACTTCAGTAACCCTACAAACGTCACTGCTGTTTAGTTTTCTGTCTTCATTTATGTTGGAAGTGATAGCAGAGCTGTACGTTTGAATTTGTTTCAGAAATCTCTTATTCAGAACATGCTACATCATGCTTAGGTGGAAGCTAGCGAGCTAACTTCCTGCTAACTTCTAACTCTGTTAAATGTAACTAATTCTGTTTTCATGGATGCCTGGATGTTAAACGTAATTGTTACACCTGGTAAAGCAACAACACTGATCATTTTATTAAAGATGAAAGAATTTAGACAGTTTTTAACTCTCAGTGATGCCGCAGTGCTCGTTTGACTTTGGGACCTGAAGCTGACAGATTTTTGGACCCAGATTACACCGAGTCCGCGAGGCTCCTGACTACAGCAGCCATAATGCTCCAACAATCCATCAAGCTGCGCGGCTTCATAGCTTACCAAAGTCATACTGAAACATTTTTGACAGATTTTTGAGCACCGTGTACCGCATAAAATTGGTTCGAGATCAGTAAGCACAACCAGAATTAAATAATTTCCCGTAGGGATCAATAAAGTATTCTGATTCTGATACATAAGGCACACCGGATTATAAAGCACACTGTCGATTTTTGATAAAATTAAAGGATTTTAAGTGCTCCTTATAGTGCGGAAAATATGGTATGTACGGTGTGTGTTTATCCACAATGCTTCAGAAATCCCAGAAATATTTCCACATTTTAAGCAGGAATCTGTGATTGAGCTTTAAAGCATCCTTCAGGAGCAACTGTCATCCTGTCTCTCAGACTGAATGAAGCAGACAGCAGAAACTTTCTGTCAAAGACAGATGAGCTCAGATGTAAATAATTGGGTTGGCTCTGAAGCACTTTTTCATCTGTCCTAACTCCGTCTCAGCTGGATGTTTACCTAAAATGGCACTTTTTTTTTGATTGACGCCAGTTTAAGGTGGCATTTTCTCTGAAGCCGCTCTGCGAATTAGGTCTTGAGTGAAACCAAAAGCGAATCAGCAGCTTTCCCCAGCTAATCACAGACCATAGGGATCCCCAGTGGAGTCCACATTTCCTTTTTTTATTAAAAACTATGCAGCATTCAGTATTTTTCAGTTTCCCTGTCATCACAACTTTGCCAGATAATGGTTTTAGGATCAGCCTTGCGACTGTGTTTGATGTGGAAGTATCAGCGGTAATGGAAACTTCAAAGACATAGCTGGCTACTTTGATTCAATGGCATCTCAATTTACTTCACTAGCTTAATGCTTGCACACACTGTACATTTTGCCATCACAAAGATTCCAGAGCTTCCATTTGAAGGCCATCTGAGAAAAAGAAACTGAACTAAAATGTGTTCGTGATTCAGCACACGATTCATTGTGCATCAGAAACGCAGCCCAAGGCATCAACATAAATAGACCACACGGACACACCTGCACATATATTACACATAAATAGATACTATAGACAGACACGAGCATGTGTTCACGATCTCCTTGTTTTCCTCCACAGCTCCTGGGCATGGCATTCTCCATGACATTGTTCCACCACATTCACAGAACGGGAAAGAAGTATGACGCTTAGCCTTGGGACAAGCACCAAATGGAGAAGAGCCCCAGTGCTTGATGGGATAAAGACTCTGATTCAAACATACATCCATGCTTTCCCTCTTTAGAGCATCCTTTTCCCCCTTCTCAGATCGTCTGTACAGATTCCAGCTGCTCTGTCCTGCTGTCTCCTCTCACCATTCATTTTGCCAAAGAGTAACACAACTGGAAGAGAAGAGGCACCTACTTTTGGCAAGGAAGAGAATCCCATATGTTGTCCCTTCTCTTGAGTACACTTGTTTTTTTGGCTTTTTCTGTTCTTCTTTGGCTTGAACTAACCAATTGCTGGAGGGAAAGACAGACATTGAGACAATGAAGACTTTACAAATGCCCAAACAGCCCCACAGGGCGAAAAAACCCACGAAAGTGACAAAACCCTCCACCTCATGTGGAGTTTTTTTTCTTCATGCTTATTAAATTCTATCCCTGTTTTTTTTCCCCTTGTAAATGAAAAAGATCCAACATGGCATGCTAGTTTTCTACTTCACTGATTTATCAATGAAATGACCGTTGTTATTATTTTTATTTTAAACGTATTGTTTTCTTGTTGGATTTGCTTTTGTAAGTATATCATCCTGTGGAATGTAAGTGTCGAACAGATCGGTGCAATGTGTGTGTGGGTATGTGTGTGGGATTGGTTTTGAGGTAACATTGCTGCAGACGGGCAAAGGCACGTAAGGATGCAGAGGTTTAGATGAAATGAGCTTCATGGAGGAGCATCGCGTAAGCACGAGGAGTCATCGGTGGATTCATTTTACACCAAACATTTGTCTGCGAACAAACTCGCACACATGCATTTTGTGCTGCCACGCAGCAGCGTACCCGTTCCCTGTTAGACAATATAAATGATGTAAAATGGCTGTTTATTAGGGCTCCAGCAGCACTGTCAGCTGTAGAGATCTAGGTGATAAAGTCCCCCCTTTGAGAAAGCAGACTGGGTTGTGTACGCGCATGCATTTTATCACACAGTTCAAGCTGCAGAGGAGAAAAAACCCACTGAGAAACACTTAGAATCAAGGGCAGGATGGAGCAAAAACCGAGCAGACACGCTGTCTCGTTTCGGCTATCAATAGCGTTAACAGAGGTGGCTCTAGCCTTTCTGTACTGAAGATCTCATCCATTCACACCGCACTCCTCGTGCTTTCTCTCGGCGGCTTGCAACTCAACCCTGCCTCTATCTTTTCTTTTTCACTCTAATTTTCTTTCTTCGTGTCAGGCAGCAATGAGTTTCATGCTCCATCCAGTGCTTCTGCTGACATTCCTGCTCATCACACGTTTACACCTCCGGTTTGCAACCCCCTTCAATTTTACGTAGGCTTCATTTTCTCGCAGCAACCAGAGGTGGGGCGAGATGGGAGTGTGAGAGTGTTGCCAGATCAAAGCTCAGACTGATATGTATGGCAACATGCCCTGTAGGACACATCAGTTTATGTCTGTTTACATCTACATTCACTGCAGGGGGCCAGAGTGCCAGCCTTCCTCCTGAAGACTGAAAATATTCCATCTGCCGTGGCGACTTCAAAAAATGCCCTCCGGTGTGTCTGCTCTAGGCTTCAAAATCTCCAAAGAAACGGTGGAATAAAGACCTCGCTTACTATCAAAGGATCACTGTAGCTTTTGGAATCATAAGGTTGTATTCAGTTGTGACATAGTGCTTTCCAAAGCAAGTGCAATTAGAGATGTGGGAAGATTGCTATATTTTAATCAAGAACAAAAAATAGCGGTAAATAAGCCGGCCAATAATTACAAAACATTTGTAACAGAATGTTAGCAGATTGTTTTGCACAAAGGTTTTTACTACAGAGGGAAGATTTTAAAGAAATTGTCTATTTAAGCTGATATTTTACCACAGTTGCGTCTTTACCATCTTTATTTTGAATTTCTGTTACTGAACCGTTGACCTGTATTGTCATGTTTGCCACTATGCCCTGTTTCTCTTCATCTCATCCATTCAAGCAGATTCAGTTTGTAGATTCCTGCAAGTTGGTTGGACTTCAATTCAGTAGCAACTCTTTCAGAACACAGTAAAAGCTCATATAAACTTGGAATTGTGGAATCTTTATGATGCAGAGTACTGTACTTGCACGAGAGGACTTTAGGATTGTGTTTTACCACCTAGTTAAGTCAAGTCTCCCATTTATAGCCTATATCGCCTGCTCATGTGTAACCAGTAGAGCTGAGCTTGGCTACCAGGGAAGCTGCCAATTAAACTTTTACAAGTGGTTGCGTTCTAAATTGTTTCCTACATTATAGCTGCAATTAAATTTATTGCTTTGAATGACGCATCAATGGACTACTGTCTATTCCTGCTACCTGAACTAACAAAGAAATTAAGCCACTCATTTACTCACGTGCCCCCTTGATGTGAGATGCTTCAGAGTATCTCCTGAAGTCATTGTTGGCATTTTAGGAAAAATTAGTCTGATGATTTCTTAATTTAAGGGAGAGTTTTAGGAAGAGAAAGGGGAATTCTTGCAACAGGAAGCAACAAATTTGTGCTGTTTTGTGCAGTGACCCTGCTGGCTGTGATACACTGTCTGCCCCCATATGCTCCAACTCTTCCTGTTGTGTCCATGGGGGAAACATGACAGCTGCTGATGTACAGTGCAGGCACGAGCGATCGCGTTTCCTCTGCTCGGCTGCCTCCACAAACTCAACACATCCCTTACTTACTGCCTCACTCTGCAGACACCTGGCGCTATTCAGTAACTGGCAATGTGGTTTGGACACCTTAAAGCACTCGTAAGGTACCCGAGACGGGTTAGCGGAGGAATAGCTCAAAACAGTTTGGCAAATGAGGCTGTGCTGTATCCTTACTGCAAAAAAAAAGGTTCAAAGGAAACCCGAGATAGCCGCACATGTAACAGAAATACAAGAATGCAGAATAGTGGGAATAAAGCAAATCCGTTGGGAGGTCAGAGCCTCAGCCTGCGGACGCTGTTTGCTCTCGGCTGATCTGACTGGGGCGACATTTTCTTCTCTGTGTAAAATCCTTACCCCAGTTTCCATGATTATTTCAGAGTAAATGTTACATTGTGTTTGTAATATGCGGGGATGAATGCCATTTTAACAAGGGGGGCTGTTTAATTATGTTCGTTTTGTACACTTTTCTGCTGTTTAAATGTTTGTTTTTATACAATATGCTGTTGGTTTTCTTGTTGTAGGTTCTGTTTTTATTGGCTTTCCCCCCATTTGTAGTTCACTTTGAGTACATGACACCATTAAGCATTTTTTCCTAGAGGATTAGTCTTTGCAGTGTTCCTCTACAACATGCAAAAATGCCTTTTCTGTGTTTCAGCGATGCAGGCGGTTAAAGCAATTAACGTAGAACAAATAGAAGGAAAATCTGGCATATAGTATCAGGCAAAGTCCACAAAAGACATACTGCGCTTTTGTCGTTGTGCTTCTTTGTATTAGGATCAAATTAAATTGAATTAGGACGCGCAGCTATAATCTGCAGTATCTCTTCAAACTGCCAGTGCAGGACCCATTCTGTACTCTTAGAGCATGAACTGTTAGACGACTGTACAACAGAGTTCATCTCGCTCCAGTGTATCAGCTCACTGTAAATATGCCCATTTTACAAGTGATGTAACTTACTGTTATACCTCTGCCACTTCGCCTAACATTCACATCAGCAGGCTGGTTTTCTGACAGCCCGTGCCCTTTTTATGCTCATTTACAGACACTTGTACTGTATGTTATCCACTTTTTATGTCTGCCAGATTTCCTGCCTCTGTTTTCTCTTCAAGCACGAGAGCGGTGTAAATGTTCAGTAAATTTGTGTTTGTGTCAGTACAGTCCTCATATATTTTTGACTGCATTTTCATCTTTTAGTAAAACATGATTTCTTTTTTTTTTTAATTGATTTTTTTGAAGGAGTATAAAATATTCCGTCTCACCCAAGGAAGCACTCCCAGTAAGCCACGGAAATGGTGAAGGAAGGATGCACATGCAGTAATTGGGTTTCGTCTGCTGTGAAAAATTCTGAACATAAAAACTGTTTTTTGTTGTTGTTTCCTTTCGTTTTGTGTGTGTGTCAGAATCATTTTTTGCCACCTTCGACATATTATTTCTGTAATCTGCTCCTAATCCTTCCCCTGTGCTGAAGCTGAATATGTGAGCAGTGGAAATGTATGCTCTAGAAATGGTGTGTTTGATGTTGTGTTCTGCTGGGTGGCACTATCTGATACCTGCCAGCCTTGTCCTGTGGAGTTTTCTGCTACACGTGAAAGCACTCTGAATATCTATACTAGCTGGTGCACTACTTTCTCTTTACTCGCTAAATCAACTATTTTTTAAATAAAGGAAAGAGTGTCAGAAAAAATCTCTCGGTACAGTACGCTTATTGCCTTTCTTGTCTAATGACTTGATGCTTCGGATTCCCTTTTTATGTTGCCGTCAATTAGATTTGATTCAGAATTTGTTTGTGGGGTTTGGGGGGTGGAGTGGAAGACTCGGCATGAAGAGCAAAGTGAAGTGGCGTCAGCAGATCCCATGATACATGAAGTGTTCTGTGTATGCAATCCCTGTCTGAAAATGGGCTCTTTTTAAAAAAAGCATAACAAAACCTGGGGGACTGTTGTCCTAAAGATGCTGAGATGAGCTAATGGTGGTGAGCCAGTCAAGAAGAGGTTCTTTTTCTAAAGAACAAAGTGAAGATGATGAAAGTGGGAACCATTGCCAATTTGTCTCACGCTTCAACAGCGCGGAGTGAAAAGCTCAGTATTTTTGTGTGCAGCTTGATCCCCTCCTTTTAACCTAATTGTTATCGGGCCTGTGTGCGATAGTGAGTGGAGTTTATTGTGCCATTCCACCCGGGCTTTTTGTTTTTCCATCACTGTTCCTTCTATGCAAAAAAAAAATTTATGACCTATTTTAGCCTTTGTACAGATTATTTTGTATGAATAACGTACTGAAATAAAGTGAAAAGAATCAATCACGGATACTTTTATTTTTTATTTCCCACCTCATCCACCGCACAACTCATTTCATTAACCTGAATTTGGAAGGCTTTCGTTTCAATGAGGCTGTTTAATTTGTCCCCACACAGGACTGCTGAACTTGTTAACCTGCAGTGGAGGTGATCTGCAGGTTGTTTCTGGTACTGCTTGTTCTCACACGGTCTTGTTTCGCGGGGTATGCTTGTCATCTTTTAAACATCACATGCAAGAACAGCATGGCTCATACTGCTGCAGGGTTACTGTTGCTTCCTATTATTTATTCTTTTAAACCTCCACTGTGCTTAATAGATCTGCAGTAGCAGGTGGAATTTTAGACACATGCTCTCATTTAAGGGTTTTCAACCATCTAAAGATGTCAAAACTATGCAGGTACGTTGGTTGTTTTATTCAGAGTTCAACACAACACAGCCATGCCATCTCATCGTTTTCACACACCTGGACCCTATTGTTTTTCAATAGGTCAGCTCCAGGTTATCTAATTGGTATTTTGCCATGAAGCAGAGTTATGAGTGTTGTATCATATGATCTGACCTCCACAACCACACACTATGCCACCACCAGTATGGGGTATATTTTGGAATGCAATAACAGAAAAGCAGCCAGCAAGTGCTCAGAATATCTATCGTTCCCCGTTTCCTCTCAGCCAAACGGATTGCCACCCAGCCTAAGTATGGTACTGTTAGAGGTTTCTTGCAGATACAAGAGAGTTTGTCTTCTCCACTGGTGCTCAATAGGGGATTTGTTTTGTTGCTTTCTACAATAATGTAAGGTCTTGACCTTATAGTGCTCTTCAGATAGTCCCATTTACTGTGTTTGTGTGCTTTTAAGTCAGAAGTGGAAGCAACTGGGATGCTGCAAAGAAGCATACAGCTGTGATATCTAGTTATTTTCTACACTGAGGAAAATAGTACCAATAAGAAAAAAAACCTTGAGTGGGTAGGTCGCAAATTTAACCTGCTGCTGGTTGTGAATGTCTTGGCTGAAAATAGTTACATTTTATTATTATAATGACACAAATTCCATTAATAAAGCAAAATTGGTCAAATCGCTGTATTTTGTCTGAGTTCATGGAAGGAGGACGACACCACTTTCTGTCTGTGCTATAAATATGAAGCCATAGCCAGCAACTGGCTAGCTTTGCTTAGCTAGGATTAGCATTACAGACTATTTTTTACGATTACAGATGAAGCAAAATTAGTGTAAAAATTACAAGATGTTTGGTTTTTATTGGCCATTATGTTACAGATGAATACATTAACATGTCAAGTTCAAACCGTGAATCAAAATGGGGAAGAAAGGTGATTTAAGTGACTTTGCTTTTAAGACGGCTTGTCTGAGTATTTCAGAAACCGTTGATCTTGTGGGATTTTCCCACACAACCACCTTCAGAGTTTGCAAAGATGGTCTGAGAAAGAGAAAATATCCAGTGAGCGTAGCTAGACTACTTCAAGCTAAGAGGAAGGCAACAGGAAAGGAAGTCAAATAACCACTTGTTACAAGCAGGCTATGGAGAAGTTCATCTCTGAAAGCACAGCACATAAACCCTTGGAGCAGATGGACTACACCAACAGAAGACCACACCGGTTGCAACTTAAGTCAAGCTGAGGCTCACATGGGTTCACCCAAACTGGGCAACAGAAAAAGGTTGCCTGGTTTAATGAGTCTGGATGGGAATGTCCGAATTTGGCATGAACTACATGATGACATCAATCTAGCCCAGTGTTTCCAACCACTGTGCCACGAGAAATGACCAGGTGTGCCGTGGAAGATTACCTGGTTCCACCTGATTAGTACTCCAGGCGATCGGTGTGAGTAATGGGCAGAACAATTACATTATCTATCGATTACATTAAATGGGTTGCCAACTGCCAGTAAAACAGAAGAAGACGAAGAAGAAATTACATAGCAATACATAAATATTTGAAATAAAAAGTAGTCACTCTGACCCAGGCCCTGGGGAAAATTCCGACCCAGATGAAATGCCAGAAGAAAGCAAAAAAGGTATACTGGGGACAAACCGAGCCAACTCCACTATGCCTGCTGTGCGGGAAAAAATTATCAATGTGCTTTTTGTGACATTTTTGTTTGGTGGTGTGCTGTGTGATTGTTCTAATGTGAAGTAGGTGCCGTGGCTCCAAAAGTTTGGGAAACACTGATCTAGCTTACCTTGTATCAGTGGTGACATAATGGTTTGCCCCATGTACCTCCAGGATGTGGTGGAGTGATTCAGCAACCGTGTGATGCGAAATTGTTGCAACCATAATCTCTGAGGAATGTTTCCAGCAATTTTCTGAATCCATTCCACAAAGATTTGAGGCACATACAAAAAAAATCTGATGATTCATGACACAATTTTCTGAGGAAAGTACCATCAAAAACTCTATATTGTGATTGGCTCCAATCAATATATTGATTGGAGCCAATCACAGGAAGATCCACCATACTTCTAATTTCTGTGTTCAAACAAAGCTCGAGGTATCTGCACAGCTCAGGACATCACTATGGTATCACCCATCCGTATCATCTCTCTTTTCATATCACTCCCAGTTGGAATCCATAGATTCCATTAGCACTACCAAAGGTAAAGTAAAAATGTTGCATAATTACAGAGTGCAACCTCCTCCCAGTTAAGGTTCTGTTCAACTAAAATCTGATTTGTATTCAATCTAAAAAAAAAAAGGTGAAACTCATTAAATATGAGTCTCTGGCAAGTCACTGAGTTACTGAGGGATCAGGTGTCCAGTGATGATGTAACACATTAACTTTATAGTTACGTTTTTGTGTTTCCGGTCATTCTGACAGATGATCCTTCATCACCAGTCAATAATCAGCTTTAGTCTTTCAATCTATATCTCTTCACAGAGTTTGTGGCTTGACTTCTTTCTTTCTTTTTAACTTCTTTATTGGTTTGAATGTTATTTACTCAAAGTTTGGCAGATTCAATCTAAAGCACACTGGAGACATCACAGCAAAAGGCAATGTCATGTAACTACATTAGATGTTCTCAAAAATGTCATTGTCCAGCCTCTGTCAACCGTCCTTCTGCTTTATTCACTGGAACAGTAATCTGAATCTGTAATCTGCAGACTAGAACATGAAACTTTCACAAGCAATAAACATTAATACAGAAAGACGAGTGCACTGTGTTTGTGCGATGTGGAATCTAGGCCCTTTGACATAATGGCGAGAGGAGACAGAATGCACAGGGGTAAACTAAAGGCAGCTTGTAGGCCATTCAGCTGCTGTCAGCTAGAGATATTTTTTGTGCAATCTGACCCATCAGCCTACATGGACAGTTCTGGGTCTCACCAGCACGGTGAGGCGGCGTCACAAATCCATGCCCCCCTTTTTTTTAAGCCACCCCAACACCAGCACAGCTTGCAACCCACCCGCTTCTCACAGATTCACATGGCGCCTGCAGATCTGCTGGGTGGGGCAGGAACTGGGGACTGTTTACAAGTGAAACTCGCTGTAGCTTTACACCTCAATAAATAATGGACCGGAAACTGAATCTGGACCGAGCTGAGACATTCTCCTTTGTCAACCCGTGGATCAGATACTTTCTCTTCTTCTTCAGCTTCTTATTTTGGGTGAGTAGAGTTGCAACGATAAAAGTGTTGTGCCGTCCCGGCAGACAATATACTCTAAATATTTTGGAGAATGCAAATCACCAGCAATCAGAGAGCTTTCAAAGAAGACAGATCTGCTGCAAAGAAAAACCAAAAAGTATATAAATAATAAATGGAGAAAAGAAATTCAGATATTATCAGGAGTTAAAAACAGCAGGAGCACCCAGCTTCCATGCTGCTACCTATTTCACGTTTAGTACAGTTACACATGAGAACTTTGATTGCCTGTACACATCACTGCAGCAATGCATTCGTAACAAATAAATCGAGTACTGACTCATACTAAACCATAAAACACCATGTAAGCACACTAGTACTCTGTAAATGAATTCTACTTGGAAGCTGTTTCTGAATGTAATAACTGCTGCATCATTTCACAGCATGGTTGCACAAATGCAGAGTCCACAGTTACAGTGCTGTGAAAAAGTATTTGCCCTTCCCGCTTTCTCATTTTTGTCTCATTTATAAATTTAAGCTCATGTAACAAATTTTAATATTACAAAGATTGTCCAAATAAATGCAGTTTCGTAAACGATGCTTTCGTTTATCAAGGAAGGAAAGAAAAGCTATCCAGTCCTACCCGGTGCTGTGTGAAAAAGTAATTGCCCCCTCAACCTAATAAGTGGTTGTGTCACTCTTGGCAGCAAGAACTGCAATCAAGCGTTTGTGATGACTGGTATTTAGTCTTTCGCATCGCTGTGGAAAAATTCTGGCCCACTCTTGTTTGCAGAATAGTTTTAATGAAGTCTCATTGGAGGGTTTCCAAGCATGAATGGCCTTGTTGAAGGTCACGCCAAAATATCTCAACCTGATCTGCGTTCGGACTTTGAATAGGCCACTCGAAACCTTCAGTTTGTTTTGCTTTTTTGAGCCATTCAGAGGTGTACTCGCTGGTGTGTTTGGATCATTGTCCCGCTGGATTGCCCAAGTGTCCTTAACCCTCATAATGTCCTCCCGATTTCCATGCACCTGTGGTCCTCAGGGGTCAAAACATGTCCCCATCTGGTTTGATTGATACTTCATTAATATGAAGTGGATTTTCCCCCACTTTTAATTAAAACTTAATTCAAACATTTTGACACAATTTTTTTTATTCCATTTCAAATTTAAATCTGATAAAAACCTCATAAAAATGAATTTTTTCTTTGTTTTCAGGTAAAAAATTAATGAAATCATCAGTTATCGTGAGGATCGTTTCACAACCAGAGTCGGTTGCTTTAACAGATGATCACTATGGAAGCCCGTTTCCGCCACTAAA